CCTCTCGCAGGCTGGCATAGAAGGGGGCAGAGATGGAGGGGTATGTCGCATCCAGGCTCTCACAGAGCAGGGTGAAGCACTGGGGGAGACACAGGGGTTGCCATCACTGCAGACTGAGGTTGGGAGGAGAGAGAAGGACTATGGGGGAGGAGGCTGAGGTGGGACAGCAGAGATAGTAGGAGGACTCATGTGCTGGAGCTTCAGGGACCTTCAGCTGCATGCTGGCTGAGAGAGGACTACACGTGGAGGCACAGCCAGGGCAAGTGCCCCCTCAGAGACCTCCTTTCTGCATGTGATCCCCCCCCCAAAACCTGGGTGAGACAGCCTGCCCTGACAAGAAGGTATCAGACTCCGTGGCTGGGAGCAGGGTTCTCAGCCTGCGCTCCCCCTGACACACACACCCAGCCCCACAGCTTTTGTCCTTGGGGAAGAGGGTGGGAAGAAGGGAAACAGGGACAGCCTTACCAGGACGCCTTGCTGGCAGACTCTCATCTCGCTGTCGGCTGGCTCGGCCAGCAGCTTCGGCAGCAGAGCTAGGAAGCAGCTGACACTCTCCTGGAAGGCCTGTAGGCTGGGGGAGGCAGCAGGGGCAGAGGAGAGCATTGAAACAGGGCCCCTGGCTGTGAGAACAGGATCTGGCCAGCCCCATATGGCCCTGGCTAACAGAGCAGGCAGCACACACTAGCACTGTGAGCCACTGTCAGCAGGCGACACAAATAGACTCGTTAGCTGTGCCTTCCCCTTAATTAGTCCCACTCATGGAAAGCACTCCTCTGTGAGCACAGCAATATGGCACGAAGCGCTCAGTCTGTGATGCTTCCCCACAGAGACAGCTCCAGCCACAGAGTATGAACACCACCCTCCCACCTACTGCCGGGTCCCCTCAGTGGCCGCAAGATACCTCAGAGCACAGAGGGTTGTCCCTACCTGTCCTTTTGCCCACTCTCCTCCAGGCTGCATTCACTGCTGAAATAAACTGTGGTCACGATGAGGAGGTCTGTCAGCACCGTGATACACCAGGGCTGCTGCAGGATCCAGAAAGAAACAGCAAGTGGGGACTGTCTGCTGGCTATCCCAACACCACCGCGGCGTAATCTTCCCCCTTCTCAAGGGTGCCTGGAAGACGCACTGGTCCTGCGAGCCAGCTCCAGCAGGATGCCAGGGCCTCCTCAGCACCAGCACTCTGCAGGGCTGGAAGGAGCCCAGATTTCTCTGGGGTCCTACACCCACCTGCTTGGTGCTACCACTCTCCAGGATCTGCTTGGCTAGACACAGCAGGGACAGAGGTACATTCAGCTCTCGGCAGAAGTGGTCCAGCAGCTCAGAGTCACACCGGGTAGCCAGCAGGTTGCCCACGACACGGAGCACAGGACGGAGACGGGAGGCTCCCTCCAGCATCCCTTCCAGCACCTGGACGTAGAAGAAGCCAGAAGAGCTCATGATCAGCAGCGGTTTTGGCCTCTCCATCAGCCATGGGGCAGCCCTTCAAACCATTCAGGCAGGGGACAGCAGGGGATCAGATGGCAAGCTAAGTGCATGAGACAGCTCTGGCTCCTGAAAAAGCAGAGGATCTTTTTGCTGGCTGGACTGAGGACTCTTCCAGTGCTCCCGATCCAATCCTGGGGAAGAAGGTGGCATCCATGTCCCCAGCCGTAGTTGCCTGGGCCACGCATCACTCACCTGCTGAGCAGAGTCTGCCAGGCGGGTCTGGACACGGTGCCGGAAGGCCGGGTCCCTCAAGAGGCTCAATGGTGTACTCAGCTGCATGGCCGAGGGCTCAGTGGCCTCGATCAGGTGTTGCCACTCCTCATCGCTCTCCAGCTCCTAGCCACAGAGGAGACAGGACTGGTGCCACAGACCCTGCCTGCCCCAGGGTCTCTGTACCAGCCCCTGGGGACTGAGCCTTGCTGTGCTGACCACAAGACGCCGTCTTACCTCATTCTCCAGGTCCACGATCTCAATGCTGTGCCTGCCTTGGGGCTCTGCCCTGCCAGCACCAGGCTGCGGAGAGGCACCTGCTTCAGGAAACTCCCGCTCGTAGTCTCGAGTGATGCTGTGCTGCCTGGCCAAGGAAACAGTGCAGTCAGTGAATGACCTTGCCTTTCCCTCTTCCTCCTGTCCCAGCCTGCTCACCATGGGTTGGGAGGAGGCTCCTCCAACTCCAACACTGCCATGCTGCTCTTTCCTTGCAGGACACCAGTGTTCTTCTTGTTGGAGGCAGGCGATGGCTCCCCCTCCCCACGGGCTGCCTTCCCTGGAGCTGCTCTGGGTCTTTGCCCTGGGCATCCTTTGCCAGAGTCCTTCGTGGATGCATCACCCGCCTTCAGTTGCCCCTGGGTGATGGCAGAGAAGTTTGGTCAGGGCAGGGTTACTCTGTCAGCCAGATGGTCCCCCTAAACACCACCACCCTGAGAACCCCACATCCTGCCTTGTATGTGGCTGACACCCCAGCCTGACCCATGTCCCTTCTCTCTTTCCCCTCAGATCCCATTTCAGTGCCCCTCCTTTGCCCTGACTGTGGGACACAGCCAGGGGAATCTCACACTTTCCTATACCTTTTTCTGTGCCTCCTCAACCATCTTCTGCCGGGCCCTTCTAAGGATCCTGGACTGGCCGCTCCTGGGGGCCAGGGTATGGGCTTGCTGCTCCTTCAGGGCCTGCAGCTCTGGGGACAGCTTAGTGGTGAAGGGGTTTGAGATCCCATGCTCTTCTGTGTCATCAATCACTGGGGAAGTGAGGGGAGAAGTTCATCAGCAGCTCTCCCTTGGGACATAGGGAGAGTGATCGGCTCTGGGATCCCAGGGGAATCTGGGGGGACCCAGAGAAAGCCCAGGGACAGGAGCTAGGGGTCAGTGCTTGGAGAAAGCTGAGAGGAGGGGGGCAAAGACCAGGGTAGTAAAAATAGCAGGGCATGGTGGTCCTCCCAGCCTCCAGGCAGTAGTAGGAGGAAATGGACCTGGCCAGCACTGGAAAAAGAGCTGGTACTCACCAGTAACCTGTCCAGCAATGAAGGGGTGAGAGAGCAGCTCTGGCCACGACAGGCGCTGGCGGGGGTCCTTCATTAGTAGTCCCTGCAGGAAGCTCTACAGGGCAGCACAGCACCAGGGTCACCGACACATGCTTGGCACCCACCAGTGAGCACAGTGTACCCACCAGTCTCCCCCAGTGAGAGCACCCAGGAGGCCTGTCTTCCCTGCCTGGCTCTTGGAAAGGAGTGGTTCTAGAGCTTAGGGCAGATGGGAAGACACTTCCCAGCCCAGTAAATCACTCCTCTGCTGTTGGCCCCAGTTTCCCAGCTTATGGACAATAGTGATAAGGGTCCCCCTCCCAGGAGGCCCAGCTCTCAGACCTTTTCTATGTTCTGAAATACCTGTCAGGGGACATAAAACCTAAGAGTGACCCACCAGGGCAGCAGGCGAGGCCAAAGCTGCTACCACATTAATTGATCTCACCCCACAGACAAGGCCTTTTCCCTTACCTTGAAGGCTGGGCTTATGGCTGCAGGCCATTTGACAGGATCTTTGACGATGAGGCTGATGAGCTGGAAGATGCTGCTGGTGTAGAAGGGAGGAGTGCCCACAAATAGCTCATACAGGATGCAGCCCACAGACCACAGGTCCGCTGTGTGGTCGTACGGCTGCTCCTCCACCAGCTCAGGGGACATGTACAGTGGAGTGCCCTTAATGGAGGTCAGCACCATGGTGTGGATGCTCATGGCACGGGCAAACCTGCTCAGAGCAAAGCACAGATGGCCAGTTCAGGCTGAAATATCCATTGCAGCTCCCAGAGAGAGCCCTACGAGTTCACCAACAACTCTCCCCTTCGGAGTCCAAAACCCCCCATCCCAGCTCAACTTCTAAATATGACAGAATCCAGGTTCCCTTCCACACTCTCCCCTCCCGCTCTACAGCACCCAGGACACCCCTTGGCTGCCTCAAGGCCAAGTGTCCCCCTCAAGCTGGCCCCCAGCACCCACCCAAAGTCACAGAGCTTGACGATGCCATCTTTGCCCAGCAAGATGTTCTGGGGTTTCATGTCGCGGTGCAGGATGCGATGGGAGTGCAGGTAATAGAGTGCAGAGACCAGTTGGGCAGCTATGGTCTGGACCTGCCGGAGACATGGGAGCCTCACCCTGTGTCCCATGGTGCCACCAGGTGGCACAACCATGGAGTCCCTTATGGCCTGGCTCCCCCAGTACCCCCACACCCACCCTTGCCCTGTTTGGGGCAGGGACCAGCCCCAGCCATGGGCCAGCAGTTCCGTGGCATAGGCCAATGGCCAAGGCAGCAGCCTGGTGCTGTGGTCCTTGAAGAGGGAACAGGGAGACAGAGGTCCCTGCTGGACCCCACTGTTCCCCAGTGCAACTTGGTCCCCTCTCCATCCCCTTCAGAAGCTCTGCCAGGTAAAGCCCCGGAGGCACCCTCACCCTCCTGATGCCTCCTGGCCCACAGCAGAGACCCACTGCCTGCAGGCAGACAAATCTACTTCTCTCCATCCTGCAGCAAACACTGTGTGGCCACCGCCATGACAGTCACCTGGTCCTCAGGCAAACTTCCATCATCCTCCAGGATCTGGAAGAGCTCCCCCTCTGCATAGTCAGTCACCACCACGACCTGGAGGGAAGAGCAGCACGGTGAGATCAAGGACTCACCCAGCCACATCCCCACCATGCCCTGGGGACCGAGATAGAGCAGGGTAGGAAATCCGAGGGAGATGCTGGGGTGTCATCATGCACAGCCCATCAGCTTGGCCTCGGATCTGGGATGGGAGACAGCCCCCGTGGCTGCACTGCCAGAAGAGTCTGGCACTTAGCAGAGGCCCTGTGGCTCTCCTTATCTCGGACAGCCAGCAGAAACCAGGGAAGAGTGAAGGACAAGCCCAGAATGGTACTTCCAAGCCCAGTGGGTAAAATCACTTCCCTTGAGCTTGTTTTGAATCTGCTGCCCAAATACTTTATTTCATGCTTCCATGTGCCATAGCACAGCCTTCAGTCCTTTCTTGCCATATTCTCTCCATGAGTTTAAATCAGTGAAAAGTCAGTCTCTGAAGGGACGGATGAGGTCAGTGAAGAGCCACCCTCATCCTGTGATCCCAAACCACTCCTCTTGCAACCACTCCCTGTCCAGCTCCTTCACCTCTGCATATCACCTAGTGCACCCTACACAGCCCAGATAGCTGCTGGGTCCCCACACAGCACACACTGGAGGGCTCTGAAAAACACTGACCAGGCCCTGGGAAGGCGTCACCAGCATCTCCTGAGAAAGAGGTCCCTACGACAGCAGGGGCCAACCCTTGTTCCCCCGCCCCAGTCAAGCAAAAGCATCTGCCCAGAGTAGTTCCCTTCACCTCCTTGTCGGTCTCGAAGCTGTCGAGCATCTGGATGATGTTGGGGTGATGGAGGCCTCTCATGATCTCGATTTCCCGTTGCAAGTTCTTCAGCTCTTTCTCAGACCTCCCCATCTTGGGGATGAACTTTAAGGCCACCACCTTTCAAAGCAGGCAAAGTTGGGATCAGACCAGGGTCCTACCTGCCCTGACAGAGGCCATGTTTAACGCAAACGGGACTCAGCATTTTCCAGCTGAGCACACCGCATTTGTTCACTGGATCCCTTGGAGCTGGGGCTGTCCCCAGGCCCTTGCACATCAATGCAGGTGCTCACAGTTCTTTGCACACTGGCGTTTAAAGCAAAAAAATTTAATCAGTGAGCGCAGACAAAACTAGGACTGCCAGAAACACAGGACAGGACCTAGAGGTGCTGGTGGACAGGAAGCCTAACACGAGCCAGCAGCATGCCCTGGCAGTGAGAAGCACTAGCAGCACCCTGGGCTGTATCAACAGGCAAGAGTTGGAGTGAAGTGATTATCATCCTTTATTTGGAACTTCTTAGACAACGGCGGCAATATTGGGGCCAGTTTTTTGCCCAGATAGACATTAACAAGCTGGAGTGGGTATAGCAGAGGCCACTGGGATGGTGAGGGGGCTAAAGCATATGGGAGAATGACACAGGGACTACAAATTAAAACAGGGGAGCTTCAACTTGATAGAAGTAAAAACCATTCGCCTCAAGTATTGTCAAGCACTGGTTGTGGGGTGTTTGTCCTTGAGGTTTCACTGGACCTGAATTTAGTGTTGGCCCTGCTTTGACCAGGGGATGGACTGGAGACCTTCTAAAGTCCCTTGAACCTGAATGACTGCGCCAGCAGGAGCTGGCCGGGAATG